ATGATTGTTGACTGTGAGAGCAGCCAGAGGGTGTACGAGTCGCGTGACATGGGGAAAACGTGGACGGAGGCCATCGGGACGCTTCCAGGCGTGTGGGTCAACTCACAATTGGAAGACTCCAAGAAAGGAAGCCTGCATGTGGAGGCCCTCATCACCGCGACCATTGAGGGCAGGAAGGTCATGCTGTACATTCAGAGAGGGTACGCCTCGGGGGAGAAAAGGGCCACTGCGCTCTACCTTTGGGTCACGGACAACAACCGCTCTTTTTCCCTTGGACCGGTTGTTACGGAGAATGCTGTGGGGCTGGAGTTCGCCAGCGCCCTGCTGTACTCGGATGGGAGGTTGCATCTTTTACAACAGAGGGACAACGATAAAGGCCGTGTCATTTCACTTTCCCGTCTGACGGAGGAACTGAAGAAAATCAATTCCGTCCTCAGCACTTGGGCGCAAAAGGACGTTTTCTTCTCCAACTTGTCAATACCCACGGCGGGTCTGGTGGCAGTTTTGTCCAACACGGCTAGCGGTGACACGTGGAGCGACGAGTACCTTTGCCTGAATGCAACGGTGACGAACGCCACGAAGGTCGAGGATGGGTTGAAATTGACGGAGCCTGACTCCGGGGTAATGTGGCCTGTGAGCATTCCGGGTGATAATGTGCGTCATGTATCCTTGAGCCACAACTTCACACTTGTGGCGTCGGTGATTATTGAAGAGGCTCCGAGTAATAACACTCCTCTACTGGGTGCGATGTTGGGGGACACTAAATCCACGCATACCATGGGAATCTTGTATACCGCGGATAAAAAGTGGGAGACGATATTCAACGACAATACGACAGAAAGTGGCACTTGGGAGTCGGGGAAAGAATACCAAGTGGCACTCATGCTGCAAGGCAAAAAGGCCTCTGTGTACATTGACGGCAATTTGCTGGGGGAAGAAGTGCTGTTCACAAATAAGAGGCCACTTGAGCTCGCATACTTTTGCTTTGGCGCGTGCAAAATGCACAACTCTCCTGTGACAGTGAAGAACGTCTTTCTGTACAACCGCCCACTGAATCCCACTGAGATGACTGCAATCAAGGAAAGGAAACCCGTTCCAAAGAGAGCTCCGGAACCACAAGCAGGAGGTGTTCCTCAAACCATCGCATCTGCTGTGTCTGGCCCAGAGAAAAATTCCGCAGCTCCAGCGGTGCCCATGAAATTGGACTCCCATGCAGTTGAAGAAGCGAGCGAGGGTGGAGCGGCAAAGAGGAATGCCTCTTGGAATGAGGGTGCACAATTCGTTGTGCCAGAGGTGAGCTTGAATTCTGCTGGGAGCGGACTGCTGCCATCGCTGCTTCTGCTTCTGTTGGGACTGTGGGGTTTTGCGGCTCTGTGAGGCGTGACTGGCTGCCGCGTGGGACAATTGCGCCCTCCCCAGCACAGAAATACTATTCCCATAGGAACAAATTTTCCTCATAAAATTCTTTTTTTGTGTGTGCGTTGTTTACTTTTTTTTTTATGCTTTAATTTTTTCCATTTTTTTTCTAATCAATCACTCCCTCATCCCTCTTTTTTGATTTTGGAGGCAATCACTTTGGACTTTTTTTTTTTTTCTACTTTTTTCAATTGTTTCTTCTGCACTCTTCCTGCGAGGGGTGCCGTGTGTTTCCCGCCCAACTGCTCCACTCGCACACCCACCGACACGCTCATGACGACGGCCCTGTGCGCCTTGCCTGCTGCACGCATGAGGAGGGGCCGCGACGAACGGCGCGCTGAGGGAGCCGTGACGTGTGGGCGTGCGACGAGGGCCTGTGGGGCGGAGCACACATTTATTCCCTCTTGTTTTGTTTTCTTTGCGGCCAGGGCTGGCGGACACCCGCAGCGCCACACACACAGCCACACCCTGCCGCCGTTTTTTTTTTTTTGCTCACTCTCTTTGACTTTTTCACTGTGTTTTTTTGCGCCGGCAGTCCCGTCAGCATTTCTCTCCCTCCTGATGATTTTTTTCCTTTGCTGCGCTCACTCCCCCGATGGAGAGACGCGACTGCCGTCATGTCTGCGTGCTTCTCTCAGTCCCCACACACACGAGTGACTGTGCTCTGCGGGCCGCACTCACACGCCGATGGAAGGGCTGCGGGGAGCACCAACACGCAGATGACCCCATGAAATATAAACGATGTGCGGACACATGGAGGGTCAGACGGTTGAACGGCATTTGAATATCTTTTCAATTTTATTTTCGGACAAAATATACAGACAGTTCCTGGAGCAACATGGTGGTTGGGCGAAATTTTTTTTTTGTGTGGTTTTTCTTTTTCTTTTTTTCCTTATTATTATTATTTGTGTGTAGCCGTAGTAGAGGACTTTTTTTTTTCTTTTTTCTTTTTTCCAAAGTGTGAGGGGTGGAAGGTGAAGATGAATTTTTTTAGTTTATTTTCATTTAATTTTTTAATGAATTGCCGCTGCTTTGTCTGCAGTGCAGTATCATGAGCCTGAGCATTCTTTTTCTCGTTATTTCTGCCACGCACCTCTGCTGTACATTTTTGTTTCTGCGTCCCTTCACATGCTCTGCTCCTGTTTTTACTTCTTTGCTTCGTGTGTCTGCAGGCACACACAACCACATGCACGCACAAAATGCAGTGGATTTTGATGCTTCTTTTGTAGCGTGTGCTGGCGGCTGCGTGTGGCTGTTGCCTCCTTCTGTGGGCATGAAGGGATGGAGGGGAGAGGGAGCGCGCATCGCGAGTCGCTCTTCCTGCGGGTGTGATGCGCGCGGTGGGCTGCGACTGCTGTGGAGGGCCGCATCCTTTCGGTGTGCGCTTCTCCGCCGTTGTGCCGTGCGTTGGCGCGTGTCATTTGTTATTCGCGTGCGTGCTAGGCATGTTTTTCCGGAGCGTTGGGCGGCCACCATCTGTCGATGGCGGTTTGTGTGAGTGGGCACGTGCGGATGAGGGTCAGGGCGCATGGAATGAAGGAATGGCGTGAGGAAAGGGGAATTTGATTTGGAGGGTATTTGGACCGGATTCATTTGGCTGCGGTGGACACATGCACGACGGATGTGTTTCCGCATAATGGGGAGGATGCGACAGGGTTTTCCGAAGTGGCCCGTCAATGCAATTCGGGTTTTATAGCACCGAGGCACAGTGGTCTTCCTGCAATGGCTGGTGACGGCCTCTAGTCGACCGGTGTATTTATGCTGCTGCTGCTGCTGCTTGAGGAGGCGTAGAAGTGCGATTTGAGGTGAGCGGCGGAGGAGCCACACATCCCGCAGTGACGGTCGTCGTTGGCCCAGCGGGTGCCTCTGAAGGTTTTGTTGGATGCAACGTCCTTATGCCCGTCTCCGGATGGCGGCATCCCTGATGCAGCCAACGAACGGGGCTGGGAGCGACTGTGATACGCAAGCACGTGTGGATGTTCGGAGCGGCCGGCGCACCGCACGCTGAGAGCATGGCACGGTGAGAACCGGACCTAGAAAAGGGACACCGCGTGGGACGTCAGTCTTCACTGCAGCGACCGCCACCGAATTCGGGTTTGCTCGCACCTTCTGCGGTCCCTCTTTCTTCCCTCACTTCTGTGCCGAGGACTGTGCCGCGGGATCCAGCAGCGCGATGTTTGGCCGCAGGAACATGGCCCGAACAAATGATTTGTGGGAGGGGGATGTGCACTGCGACGAGAAGGAAAAAAGGTTGCGAGTCGACCACCACGACAAGACCGGAGTGAAGTTGTGTTTTGTCCACTTGCGCGAGGGTGGCCTGCCACCTGGTCGGTTAGGAGGATTATTTTTATTGCGTCGTTGCGCTCTCTTTTTATTCCGCTGCGTTTTCTTGCGGACCTGCGAAGGGAGATTTGCAAGAAATTCCTGCGAGGCGTCCGTGCCGTCGTCGGAAAAGCGGATTCCCCCTTGAAAAACGCTACTTTTTAAATTTGTTTTGGGCGGGGAGTTCCTGTCGATTCAACGCGACTTTGTTTTGCGGATTTGATGCGTGTGTTTCCGAGCGGTTCGGTCTGTGCTCCCGGCCCACTCGGATGTGTTGTGCGCGTCGACGTGAAGGTGCTTGCCAGCCGTTTTATTGCCTCCCCCGCTGTGGCTGCCGCCGCTGCCTTCTTCCCTTCCTGAGGTCCTGCGGCTTCTTGACAAGATGTTTTGGAGAAGGCGTTGCCGCTCTTATTGTCCATTGTATTTTGATTCTGGTGTCGTGGTCAGGAGACACTGAACGAGAGTGTTTGCTGCCCTCTTGTTTTATTTGCCCTCTCTGCCTGACGGCCAGTTCTGCACAAACATGCTCCTCGGCATCTCAGTTAGTGCTGGCGGGTTTGCTCACAGTTGTCACTGGCAATCGCATGCGCCAACTCTTCTCTGCTCCCTTTCAGTGTCGCATTTTCCTATTGATTAACTGAAGCCATTCTGTCCGGCGTGTCACTTCGATTGGATTGTGTGGGCTTGCTCTCTAACGCCATCGGAGAAAGCAGGCCGACTTTTTCACATATTTAAACGTCATCTTGCGTGCACGTATTTTTTTCACATGTTCTGTTGATGTGCACTCAAACAGCGAGGGATCCGGAACCATGCGTGCGTGTAATTTGTCCTGCCATGTGAACCGCGGGCAGCACCGAGGGGCTGTCACTTTTACTCCGCAGAGTTGTTGTGTCTCTTTGCAGGGTTGGCAGGGAAATTGCATGCGGCCTGCTATTGCTGGTGTGTTCAAATGCCACTCCATGCGAGGAATGTGCTTCATCGAGTGAGGGTGTTGATTGGGTTTGTGCGCACTCTGTTCTGTTTGCTGCTTTGTGCGGGCACGCAAGACCTGATGGGTGGGAAAATGGAGCGGGGCGATGCCTGGCCGCGTCTCGCCCATCGTTCAGTGCACGATTTTGCGGTGCACATTGTGGTGCTTCCTCTGCGATGTGACAGCGGTCTCCTGTGCGGCGATGGCGGTGGGTAGAGGAGAGCGTTGGCCCGCGGCGGGACGGTGGGATCGTGCCTTCGTTTTTCCCACCCCTCCTTCTGTGAAGGCGTGCACTTATTTTTATTGTCAGGGATAGGGCAAACAGAGAGGCCACTTGAGTAAATAAAAATTGCGATAATGTGGCGGTGTTGTTGCCGATTGCACGTTGCGTTGCTGCGGGGGCTGTGGGCCTCGACCGCTTCGCCGACATGCGTTGCAGTGCGGCTGCGTGGCGCACCGACCACTCCGCCGTGCGAGTGCCGCGCGCAACGCCACTGGGACTGCGGGGCGGAACAGCCGCGACTGTTCTTTGGAGCCAGCGGCACCTGTTGGCCGCAGTTGGGCGGTGCGAGTGGGATGCTTCGCCGCACGGGTGTTGTGGTGGCGCCTCGCGGCGGCTTCGGTGATGGTTCCGACGCTGCAGCTCGACATGTGGCGGGGAGTAAAGGGCGACCGCAGCTGACTGTTGACGGTCGGG